TCTCTCTCTCTCTCTCTCTCTCTCTCTCTCTCTCTCTCTCTCTCTCTCTCTCTCTCTCTCTCTCTCTCTCTCTCTCTCTCTCTGTGTTCTATGTTATTCTAAAATTTTATTCCAAGTATAAGTTTCCCTCTCGATATCAACTCGATATCTAACTCATTTCGATCTTATCTATTTAATAGATATCGAACGGCAGAGACCGCGGCTGTCTCTCTTTCTTTCTCTCTCTCTCTTTCTCGTTCCGATTTCTTCTCTTGCAGGTAACAATTTTCTGCTTCATCGTTCCTCATCGTATTGTCGTTATTGTCGGTACGTCGTATCTAGATGTTAGTGTGTCATGGCTGTTGATTGAGAAGTCCCAAATTATATTTCCGTCGATTAATTCGACCTTGTTACATCGCGACATATTGTATACATACACCGAGAAAGAAGATTCTTGTTTGGAAGATGTCGGTTATTTTTTGACATGTAAAATGTGATTGCATAGGATTAAACAAAAATAAATTGCTCGCATCAATATACTTTACACGCAATTTAATAAAGATATATTCTTTTTATTAAAGAAATAATTTTCATAAATAGGAGGAGAGAGCATAAAATATTGGATTAAGAATGATGTTTTTAAGAGAGTGTCGGAAGAGGATGATATTATCATGGAAAATAATCGTATTGTATTTCTTTCAGGAGATTAATATGATAATCAAGTAAAATTATAACGTTGTTGAAATTCAAGACTTTGATTCTACTAACAAAATTATATAAGGCGAAATGGTAGAGGAATTTTGTGTTCAGTTTCATGAATTCTACTCGCACACAATGGATGTGTCATAAATTATCAGATGCACGTATATCGTTGCTTATGTATGAAACAATGATCGTTAATTTGATTATACTCCATTTTAAATGGTTACTAGTTTTTTTTCTCCGCGTTATATCGCACATATCGTGTACATATCACGTGTTATGTTTTATTTAACCTTACGATTCGACCTAATCTTTTTTTCACTCGTAAGTGCAACACTCGCAGCTGTCGAACTGTCAAACACAGTTCCGAGCCGCGACGTGCGAATATCTTGACACGATGCGTCCGACCTGGAAATGTCTAAATCCAAACTGAAAGGTATCGTGATGTGACCATTATTGATTTCGATGTCTTGTTCCGTAAGCTCTAACTCTGGAATAATAAATCTCGATCCTGTTTTCCTCTCTCTTTCTCTCTCAGTTGCTTTTCCTATTGAATTTATTAAATTAATCCGACTGTCCCGAAAAGTACATGGTTTGGACAGAATAATTGACCAATCTCGTTAATTAAATTAATATTTATTCACTAAATTATATTTATATTCAGTGGTGTGTTCTGCACGATACGCAGTAACATTTCCCCGTGCGATTTTAATTAATAATTAACGATATCTCTGACGTGACTAACGAGTACACAACATATCGCGGGCATATCGAATGCGACAGACTCGCGTGGCATTTCGTGCGACTACCTCAATTTGTTATTTCACGAGACAAAAATTCTTCGGGAAAATATACAGAATAACATTTTGTGCAATTACGTGATATTACGTCGTTTCATGCAAGGCGGTTTTACATTGTCAGATGATTCGAATCCAAGGTACATAATAAATGACATAAATGATTTCTCTCTTCCTTTCTCTCTTTCTCTCCCCCCCCCCTCTCCGCCTTTTATTGTTACGTCTACTTTCTCACAACTTGCTCTCATTCAACCCTCATTTTTCCCTCGACGTATTGTCAGATTAAATACCGAGCGTGTTAAGAGATAGGCCAGCCGACATTTGTGTGTGAGTGCGTGTACGTGTCGTGTGCGCGCACACGCGTGTGTATACGCGCTCATATCTGTGCGGAGGAAGCGGAACACCCACGTCGATCCGTTACCGACGTCTTGGACGATCGAAAAAACGTGCGCGGTGCTCGGAGTCCCTTCGATCAGACGTCCGCGGATATCCTCGGCGCGAACGGCACCCTCATCGCGCCTTCATCGCGCAGAAATCGGCCAGAAGGAACGCCGTGCTCGACACGATTCTCTCTTTCGAGTCGGCTGTAATTCGGCCGTTCTCCAAACACACACGCACGCTCTCCCTCCCTCCCTTCCTCCTTCTCTCCCTTTCTCTCTCTCTTTCCCTCTCTCGTGTCCCCTCTCATACATTTCTTATCGTCGCGTCTCGTACACTCTCCCCCCTTTGTGCCTCTCGCTCCAAGCAGGTAACGTGCCAACGCAATGGCGCCTTACTGGCTGCACCTGGGACAACCGTTCGCCAGGTTAGGATCTCGCGTCGATTGGCTGACCGGCGTAAAGCGGAGCGCTGATTGGCCGGCGCGGCGGCTACACCGGCACGAAGGTTTAATCTCGTTTACCGTAGGCGCGCTGGCGTTCAGTTTAAGTTACCTCGGCCGGTCGGTCGGTTGGTCGATCGTCCGCCCGTCCGTCCGTCCGTCCGTTCGTCCGTTCGTTCGTTCGTTCGTTCGTTCGTTCGTTCGTTCGTTCGTTCGTTCGTTCGTTCGTTCGTTCGCTCGCTCGCTCGCTCGCTCGTTCGCTCGCGTCAACCTTAGACCGGACGTCATCGCCCGAAGCCCCCGAAGACGCGTTACGCGCTTTGCCGGGGCCCCGCGTAGATCGCGGAAATCGGGAGTGTGTGCGTGCGCGCAGCAATTCCGGACCGACACCGGCGGAGCGATCGCGCGCGGCTGTATCGTTGTGCGCGAACGCGAACGAGAACGCGAGAGACGCGTCCGCGGCGGTGACACGATCGCGCGCGCGCTCGCGCGTTGTGTTTGTATGTGCGCGAGCGCGCCAGCGCCTCCGCGACATTCAGCTCGACGCGCACCACGTAAGTGACTGTGTTGTGTGTGGAAATGTGTGTGTGCGCGCGTACACATACGTAAACGTATCGGAGCGAGACGCGCGCACGCACAAACGCACGAACGAACGCACGTAACGGCTCGGATTCTCATCTGCCGTCCTGTTCTCGCCAACTGTCGGTATCGCCGTGCGCGTACGCGTGTATCGCGATTGGTCGGTGCGTGGTATTTTTGAAAAGTCGTCCCCCTCGTATCGCTCTCTTTCTCTCTCTTTCTGCGCCGCGGCCCCCCTCCTCCCTTTCGGCCCTGCGTTTCCTTCTCTCGTCTCTCCCGTTATAACCGCAGGAGCGGCGAGAAAACCCTCGGCCGCCGTCACGGCGCGCCGCCGTATGGACGATTTTGAGAAAGAAGCCGTCCAGTCTGCCGCCTTTCTGACCCGTCCCATCCCGTCGCGCCGAGCAACGGGTCGGCCGACAGGTCTACCGTGAAGTTGTCGCGATACACTAGCGACCGGCCGAGAGGCGTCCTTTCGGCGTCGCCGCGCCGCGCGGGACGTGCGCGACGCTCGCGCGAATGCGCGCACGAGCCTAGCGGAAAGTTCGAATTCGCCAGTGACAGGTACGCGATCTCGGAGCAAAAATCTCTTTCTCTCCCTCTCTTTTTCTCTCTCTCTCTCTCCCCCCCCTCTTCCTCTCTTTCTCTCTCCCTCGCGTGAGCGAGCGGAGAGTCGCGCGCGTATGAGCGAACGGACGTGCCGAAACCGAGAAGAGAGTACGCGAGCTTGCTTCTTTGTTCGTGAACGCGAATCCAGCGACGTTATAATTTCCCTTCGAATTCGCCGGAATCTCTCGCTCTTGCCGGCCAACTTCACACCGCTACCGCCGCGACTCCTTCGGCGTCGCGAGAGTGCGGCTCGCCCGCGACGGTGTGATCAACGCGAAGTGCGTCCCTGCGCGTCGAACGTAGCGTCGGAAAATGAAATTCGTCGCGATGCCGAAGTGAGTTCCGGGCGACAGCGCGCGCGTGTGCTCTTGGATTACCGATTTGTTGGTGTTCTTCTCAGCGTCGCCGTTCCGGAAAAGGGCCACTAGCTCGGCTGAGAGATCGGACCGATCGCGACCGATGTCGCGACTTTCGCTTGTCGCGAGTGAGTGATTGTGCGAGGAAGTGCCGGAAATCTGAGGAAGAATACGCCAAAGTTGCGGAAATCGACGGGAATTTCCGCTCGCGTCGGTGCTCGGTGAGCCGTGTGTGTGTTGGTGTGCGCGATGCGAGGTTAGGATCGTCGTGCTCGGAGGGTAAGAGACCGAGAGAAAGAGAGAGAAAGAGAGATAGAGAAAGAAAGAGAGCCTTCTCTCGGGAAAAGGAGAGCGGCGTGGATCGGTGCCGGAGCGAGGAAAACGGAATATCGTATCGACGGGGTCAGTCCTCGATCGAGATCTGGATTACGCGGGCGCCCCGAGGATCGCCACGATCTTGCCAATTCGTAAAAAAGGTGAGCTCAAACTCGAGTCAATTGGAGCGCCACGAAAGGCCAGTCGAAGGCTATGTAATTTCATCGAGCTGAAATTTAAATATCGACCAGCGACCGCGATAACGAGCCCCGCGAATTTAATCGCGAGCAAATTCGGATTATTACGGATTATTACGCACGTACTGGAGTATAAATTACTACATTAGGTATGAAATGTGTGCTTATTGGATGTATTCGGTCGTATAAAGCAAATGTTTGTTGACGTCTCGCGTGTGACGTTTGACGTTTCTTATGCGCGCTGAGAAGCACGCTGTTCGGTAACACTCCAGGTCACAACTACACTACTATGGGAAAACAAATTGCTGATGTTACTGAAATTCTAGTTATTTCCGACGTCAACTACTTTTTTGTCGATCTGACAAAAAAGAAAAATAGCAACCCAGAGATAAGATTTTTACGATTGTCACAATGTGAGACAATCAACGATGGGAGCTTTACAATTCTCTTAATTACATTTATGATGTGAATATGTGTTGAATTAATTGTTAAATTTAAATTATACAATAATGCAAATTTTTTGCTGTATTAGCAACGAATTAATGCAGCAACAAATTTAGTCAAAGTTACACTCAGATTTTCATATTATACTTAGTATGGCATATTGTTTTGAGCAAATTTTTCCTTTCGTATTTCTATTTTGTGATTCTATGTGATGAATATAATTGCAATCTTATCGTCTAAGGGACTCGACGTTCTCGAATTTCGTGATTTAATACATTTGAAATTGTTGTAAAGTTTACGTATATATACATCAATCTATCAGGGAACGTTTATATAAGAGGTCATTATCATTAATACTATAGCAATCTAGATGGATTTTCATGATTATTACGATTTTTATGATATAACACAATTGACGATGGAAACTTTTTTAATTCTCCTTTTAATTACACTTATGAAGTAAATATACTGCATTGAGTTAATTACTAAATTTACATCATATACAGTAATGTAAATTTTTTTGTTTCATTAATGCAATAAGAAATTTTTTAAAAGTTATACATTCAGATTTTCATATTATATTTTATTCATATTACATTTGATTCGTGTTACATTTATTCATATTACATTTCATTCATATTACATTTATTTGTGTTACATTTTATTCCATATTACATTTCATATTCATATTACATTTAAAGGGATGCTGGAGTCGATGACGAACTCGAACAATGTCGATAATGCAGAGACGATCATTAATATAATCACACTATCCTTTTCGTATATACAGAACTATTTCTTGTATATACAGAATTTATATGAATAAGTTGTTTTGTTTTACTATATTCAACGGAAAACCTAATCATATATGTGTGGAAATCTTTCTGAAAACTTTTTCGATATTTTTAAGCTTACAAATGCAGATGCGAAGGTAAAGCAATCTTCTTCAAAATTTTTCTTTCATATTCATCATTTCCAAGTGTCCAAATAACATTTATATGCAATATAACATTCTTGGTGACATATTTTACAGGCAAAATGTACGTACAAGTTATTTGCCTTGTGTGAAATCTGAAACACGGAAATTTGAGTGAATAAATGAAATATTGTGAAACGTGTTAGATTCAACTTTTTTTTCAGCGCGCTTAAAGTTGCGTATCAGAGTTAGTCGGAGAACACGTTCCCTTACCCATAAATTTTTCACTATGCGGTTGTGGCTACAAGCGCCATACACTTCTTTTTTCTCTAGTCGCCGACAATGAAGCGTTGATATTTTACGTGCCACGGCAGTCATCTGCGCGGCGCTCGGGAATCGCCGATTCGGGCGATTTCGCCAGCGGTACACTCTCCGGTTAGCGTACTTTCGCGAGAAAGCGGCGTAGTAGCGGAACACACAATTCCGCTCACGAGTCCCCGTTTCGCATCTCGTCTAATTTCCTTCTCCTCTCGCTTCCACGTCCGAAGGCTGAATTTTATACAGACTTGTTCCATTTTATGCGGAGAGCAACTCGCGCAAAGAGGGCCGGGAAAGTGGCGGTGTAAAACACACGGGACACTTACTGTACCCGCGCGTGATACGCGCCGGCCGAATCCGCATTCGTCTCTATTAGCCGCACTTACATCCGACAGATGTTGCGCGAAACGCACGGAATTTTCCGTTTCGCGACGTTTACGCCGCGTACACACACACACACACACACACACACATAAACACACGGTGAGATACACACGCGGGAAGGAGCCGCGATGGAAAGACCTGTGCGCGCGCGGGGAATCGATCGTTTCGCAATTCCAATCAGCGGCTCTTCCGATTGTCGCTTATTGCCCGTACTGGCGATTCGACCAAATGCCGACAATTTGCCGCGCCGCGACCAGCAGGAGTACCGTGCGGTAACGGCTCTTTTCTTTCGCAGCTGTATTTCCTCCGCGTTTCCACCGTTCCCTTTTCCGTCATTATTCTTTCTTTCCGAGCGCTTATTTTATATGTAAAACGCGCGAACAGCCGGAGGAAACGTATACGTACACAACGTTGCAATTTTCGTTCGTCCGTTCGTCCGTGAGCTCAAAACGCGGATTAAAGACGCGGATTCACCGAAGAGCCGCTCTCTCGGACTGGCGTGGAGCCACTTTAGAGTCGAGTGTAAGTTCTAAAGTTCAAATCCGAGATTCACGTCGTGTATCAAAAGCGGCGTCTTAGGAGTCGCGGGGCCGGAGTTTGTTTCGAGCCTGTCTGGAGTGAGCTCGCGAAACAATTAAACGTAGTCGCGCACATATACGCCATGTATAATTGCGTTATGTACAGAACTAATTGCCAGTTGTTTTTGCACCGTTAAATTAATTCCCGCTTAATTGAATTTGAGAAACCGCTGGCGCGTTACTCCGGATAGTCAGTTCTCCAAAGTATAATCAGTGCATTCTTCACGGAACTGCTGTACTTATAACTACTTGGTGGTCCAAATTATCGTCAGACTCGAAGTGATGACTATCTACGGCAAAATTATGACAATTTATTGATTATTTTGGTAAAATTCGTCATTTTTTATAGTTTCACAGATAGGCTGTTTTATTTGTGTTTTTCGCATTAATACGTCAGATAAAACAACATTCTTTTTATATTCTCATCAAATGTACATCTGATAATCTCTGAAGTACCTTTCAAATGAAAGAAGGGAAAACATTTGCAATCTTTCGTTAAAGTTTTTTCCATTTCTTAAAACATAGCTACAAATTTTCAGTTACATACTACAATCTAGTTGCTGAAACAGCAAGGCAATAAATAAAATTGCTATAAAGTTTGAAATATATAGATTAAAATTGCATCCGTCATACTTTTTGTTTTGAAAATCTTAATGAAAAAGGAATTTGTTTAAGTTTCTCTATTTACTATACATATGTATATTTTCAGTTTCCCAATTATTATATGCTATGTATAATACAAAACCGATTTTTTCGGTTATTTTTTAACAAGTTATAGAATTACGCAAGCGAGATTTTGAAATATGTTAAAGATGGCTTCGAAATACCTGCTTGCTTGATACTGTTAAAGAACAGAAATAATCAACTTTGCCAATGCATGCCAATGTAATGTTTTGGCCGTTAGCTAATTAGCCTTTCCTTATATCGTTTCCCTTATATCCCTTATAGTATATTCAAAATATTTCAAAAATATTTCATAGATATTTTATGGAAATGTGAGTTAAATAAAGCATTCATCTTAATGACTAAATACTGCTCTCGAGTTTTATATCAAAATTTCTTTATTTCTGTAATTTTGTTCCTAAATTACCATTTTACCAGCTTTCCAATACATATTACCAGGTAATTTATTGTAATTTACCGCGTCAGTTACCGCCAGATTAAATCATTTCCATTTCAGTTGTAAGTATAGCATTACAATCAGTAAAATAATATATCTCGCTGAAGAATTAATTAATAATAACGACTGTTCCTATTCACTCTGAGAGAAAAAGTATTTAAGAAATAAAAACTATTTTGATTCAGTAAGTGCTAATAACATATTTACTTACACTAATATAAAATATTTTTCAAATAAGAAAATACTCTTGAAGACATTTACGAAAGCAATTGTTGATTTTGTTTAAGAGAAGAATTTAGATTTACATAAATATGTTATTAGAGTATCCACCTCGAATATAAATATTTTTTTTATTTCTTACACTGAGGGAAAAATTACCTTAAAACCAACAAATATTTCTTTGATGGGTGCCATTAACATATTTACTTAAAAATCTAAATCTCATTATTTAAATCAAATATTTTTTACCTGATTTAAGTAAACAATATTTGGTTTAAATAAAGATTTAGATTTAAATAAATATTTCTTTGATGGGTGCCATTAACATATTTACTTAAAAATCTAAATCTCATTATTTAAATCAAATATTTTTTACCTGATTTAAGTAAACAATATTTGGTTTAAATAAAGATTTAGATTTAAATAAATATGTTAATGGCACCCATCAAAGAAATATTTATTTAAATCTAAATCTTTATTTAAACCAAATATTGTTTACTTAAATCAGGTAAAAAATATTTGATTTAAATAATGAGATTTAGATTTTTAAGTAAATATGTTAATGGCACCCATCAAAGAAATATTTATTTAAATCTAAATCTTTATTTAAACCAAATATTGTTTACTTAAATCAGGTAAAAAATATTTGATTTAAATAATGAGATTTAGATTTTTAAGTAAATATGTTAATGGCACCCATCAAAGAAATATTTGTTGATTTTAAGATAAATTTTCCTTCAGTGTATATACCTTTTCTCTCTTAGTGTATCGGTGCAGTTTTTAAACACAGATTTGCACGTAAATCGCATGAAAGCCGTTAATTTCACCACCACAAATGCAAAAAGCTTGGCACAGCGTATGACGAACTTGTAGTTTCTACAGTGAAATTTGAAGTTCTACTAGTCAAAATCAGTTAGATCTAAAAAGCAGTAAAATGTGCTGAGAAAAAAGTGTTTGGTTCTTGTAACTATAGTCACATGGGGAAATATTCACTGATTGTCGTGGTGAAATACTCCTTTTATTGATTCAATTCGAAACATTTTTACTGATTCACTTAAAGAGAGAGTGCTATCAAGGACACCTGGTATCTCTCCAGATAGTTTACACTCGAGCAATTTTGACGCAGCTCTTAGGGTGAAGTCGCGCGTGCGCTGTCTTCGAAGAAAGACAAGTAAAAATCTCGTTTTTTTTTCTGTTGGCGTTGGTATTGCGTTTTTTGTGTTGCGTAACGCATCTACGCCGATGCGTGACGCGAGGAATTATAACCTCGACGAGCGTCGTAGCCGACTCATGAACCGAAATTGTAATGTCAATCCCGCGACTCGCGTAACACATTGACGTATCGCGGATACATTGATGTACGAAGTTTAGAGTCGGTCGAGTTCAGAGTCCTCGCGCCGAGCCGTCGTGCCTCCTCGATGTTAAACCGGTTCGAATTTCGCGCAGGTTCAAAAACAGTCACGAGAAACCCGCGGGTTCGGCATAGCGTCACGCGTTTTGAACAGGTGTGCATTGTTGAACGAACGAGAGAGCCTCATTTTAATCGGCCAGAAATATGTTTCGATGAGATTAAATATTTACGGTGCTGCGGAGAGTTTATGTTAGATCAGTGGATGACCTCATCGATAATTAAATGTATTTTTTTATCTTTTCAGGAGGACACACGGACAGGGATGGCATGAGGGAGGGCTCCGGCAACGCTGCCGAGGTTGTAAACATATTTAATATCTGTTTTTGTCTGTTTTCGTATGCACTAAGCCGAGGACACGCGGGCAGGTTTACTCGATTCTGCAGTCGGCAGTTCCTCTTTTGGCTTAATGCACAGAGAGAGAGAGAGAGAAAAGAGAGAGAGAAAGGACTCGATGGGATTTTTTGATTTGTAGTTACGATCAAACAAAATTAAAACGTGAAACAATTGCGCGTAATCTCCTCTACGCAAATGATTTTAAGAGGCGGAAGAGTCGAGCCGGAGTACACGTGAGGTGCACGGACGCGAAACTAATCTTCATTCTGCATTCACTAATCTCCAACGTTTACGGTAGTTACCTGGAGAAAAAATTACCTGAACCTTTCCCCATCAAAATTGATTTATACACACACATACACACAGAAAAATATATACTGCATTCAAGTAAATATTACTTGTTACAAACGTTACATAAACTTATATATCCGCAAGTGTATATATATCATAATTTTATCACAAAAGTATATCAAATTCGATCAACTTGTATTCTCTGCCTTATAAACATAAAAGGCTAAAAACAATTAAAAATAATTTCAACATTTAATTGTTAAATTATAAGTAAATAAAAAAAGTAAAAAAGGCATTTTTTTAAACAAAAATCATTTTAGGGCAAACTATTAGGAATTGACATATTGAAACATTAACAATTTATTCAGGAGAATTAACAGTATTTTATACATTTTTTTTCAAAATTTTATGTCAGCCCTACTTTTTACAATAGATAATTGAAATATTGATAATATGTTTGCTTTCTGCAAGTTTCTTGTCAAAAAAAAAGTGTCTTTTTTCATATCGAGAAAATATCGTTATTTCCGGGTAATACTAAAAGCGAGATTGTTAATTTCTAAGACTTATATGTGTTCGCCACATTTATATTGGACACGCCATTATAAATTTTAACTTTCCGACCTCAAATTCGTAATCAAGACCCTGAAATCTCCCATATACAAAATTTAAAGAAACTTCACTGAAGAATAAAATGATTAGTTCAAAGGGTTAAAACAAAAAATCGGTGCTTATTATTATATACAAAGATGAACCAACTTTTCTTTTGATAAAGTTGTATAACGTTCTTGTAAAGAGAATACATTTTTATTTTGTGTATATGATAATGAGCTTTTCTCAAATTGACGATGTTTTAAAACTATAATTAAGAAAATATTCTTGGTTGAAGGTAATCATTACTTAAATGAATGAAAGTAAACCAGGCTCTCGCTATTCTGTACGCACCTTCTGACAATTGTCAGTACGGTACGACATCTGTCATGTAATTATAAATAATTTCAGATAATAAATCATAAAGAATAGCAATTTTTTTATAAAAATTGAATTGAAATAAAAAAGCGGCTAAAAAAATTGAAGACATTAAATTACGTTCAAAAATTACACGAATATTGGAAACGAGCTAACCTTTTTTGCAATTTCTTGCTTGATTTATATAACCTTATGAGATCGTCTTTGAAAAATATGTTATGTTGTCGTCACGTACAAGACATCTCGTTAAAAATATCGTTCATAAACGACAAGCGTTATTAATTGTTATTTCATTGGTAATAACAAGTAGTTGCACAAGGTTACTTTGCATTAAATATTTGTTTAATCATTGACTGTAATTTAATTTCTTTTTTATTTTAATTCAGTTTTACATGAAAATTGCCACTTTTCGTAGTTTATTATTGAAAATTATTCAAAATTATGATAATCATTATCGACAAACGTCGTTAGCGTCACCCGCATCGACGGTTGTCAGAAGGAAGGTACAGAATAGTGGCTGATTGAATAATGGCAGTTTTCTTCGCAGTGGAGTGATATTTTTCTGTGTGCAGCTGTTGCATATTTTTATCTGAACACGATGCACGATGAAACACAGAGAATAGAGTCAATAGCTCCGCTCTTGACTCGTTTATCCCGAGAAAAATTGCCGAATGTGAGTTTCGCTTTTGTGGGCGCTCGTGTAGTAATTTTTGCTGCGATCCCCGATGGTCAGACGTGGCAAAATTCTTTTACGGTGTTTATCGTCGTTATCTTTCGGCGCCTCTCGCCAAAGCGGTCGCGTCACGGGAATGGCCGTGCGAAGTATTTTCGAAAGCCTTCGGGCTGTTGGCGTCGAGAAGTAGGGTACCGGGTTAATACTCCGTAGAAAGATAGAGAGAGAGAAAGAGAGAGAAAGAGAGAGAGAGAGAGAGAGAGAGAGAGAGAGAGAGAGAGAGAGAGAAAGGGGGGAGGGGATAGAGAGAGAGAGAGGGAGGGAGAGAAACGGAGAAAAGCGACCAGCATGGAAAGCAGGTAGAAAAACGAAGAGAAATTTAGTACCTTCCTTTCTCCTCCTCTCCCGTTGTGCATCACGCGGCACATTGCATTACTGTTATAATTGATTCGTGATAAAATAACGCACGGATTGCGCCTATTAGATCGCGCTCGCGATTTCTCGCATCCGCATTTTCCGCTATAGTGATTTCGGTGGAAACGATATCGCGAAACGCTCTCATTCAACCGTGCGATACGACGATGCTATTGGTGTTACATATATACGTACTTATACACACGTACACGCACGCACGCGCCCACACACACACACACATATATATAATACATAATCGATACGCAAAGTAACAGACGAGCGACAGCGTAGCTCAAGCATAAGATATTAATTTAATATAACAAGTTCTCACTGGTCAATATCCTTTAAACTTGTATTCGCACCGAAATTTCGCGATGGTTTTCTCCTCATTAAAAGTTATCCGGCTATTCAATTTTCATGAATCGCGGAGGGCTTCCATTATTAAACTTTCATGCCACGTCGCCTTTGACAAATTTCTGTTCGAAGCCCCGAATTGAATTGCAGAAAGGGCGTGTGTCATAAAAAGGGGAACTTTTTAGCCGCGCGCGCGAGAGAGAAAGAGAGAGAGAGGGCGATTGTCCATTATTAGGTTCTCGGTTTTTGAACAGAATTGCCGCAACTTGCGAAGAATTAGGGCGTACAAAGTGCAGTTTGGTTATTTTTCAATCGCGACGTGTTTTCCAATGCCGACGCGGGCATTTTTTTTTCCCACGAGAGAAATTAATTAAACCTCTCGGGTCCGTTTCGTAAAAAGTTCACTCACGCGTTTGTCCCGCGGCGACCGATGCAAGTTTTGAAAATTAAAGCCCGGTGTTCGTGCGCCGCGTCAAAAGCATCATGTTTCGTAGAAACTAGTCACGAGTCAATTCATAAACAATCCCGCCAGCGGTATAATGAAAAGTTCGTCCATGTAAACCGATGTTCCCGTATTTTTCCGTTAAATTGCTGTGTCGTGCGACGCTTAATGCGGGGAGTATGTACGTCGTGCGTCCGCTTCAATTGCGATTCAACGAGAGGCAAACCGCTGACCCAAAACATTTGCGCACCGTTTGCGGAATATGCGGCTATTGGCCGCTAATTTCAACTGGACGAAACACGCGGTCATACGTAATTAATTTGGCGGCATGTGTTTTCGCGATGCATTTTTCCGCCCTCCATTCTTCCGCTGCCCGAGATATACCTTGTTCACGTAATCAACGGGATTGCCGTTTTGCCATTTTCTCGCGGATGAAACTTGCTGAGAATGACATGCGACGCGACTTGATAAAGTAGATTCGATTCTCTATATGTAGAAAAAAGAAATTCCTGTTTGGAAAATACCTGTATTTCCGACATGTTAATCTGTAAATGAGATTATATAGCGTTATAAACGAAGGTAAGCTATTTGTAAGAATATATTTTATGATTCACACCCACACACACACACAACGAGAGGAAAAGCCTAGGTTCTTATTATTCAAAAGTAATTTTCAGTAATGGGAAGCGCAACATATCGAATTGGGAATATAATGCCTTTAGATGTGTGTTATTCAGGTCCCCTATATCTATTAAAATTAATACACTCTAATTAGCAATTATTGTTTTATGAATAAAACAATCATTGTTTCATATATTAATATAAGCAACGATATATAATTTCGTTAGAAACTATAAAATTATAAGAGATTTCGATATATAATTTCGTTTAAATAGAATGTTAAATCCTCATAATGTTATAATTTTAATTGAATATTATAATAGTAATATAAAAGAGAAGTACAATATGCCTATTAATATATTTATTTAACGTTATAATTATTAATATTATAATTATTAATTATTATTTCGATAATATTTGATTATTTTGATAATAATGATGTCTTTTGTTCCAACATTTAAAAGCATTATGTTCTCAATCTAATATTTTGTGTTTTTCATTCATAAAAATTATCTTGGAATAATAAGAATGCAGGTTTTTTTCTTCGTTAGATCTCATATATAAAATATATTTTTGCAGATAATTTATCTTCGTTTAACGCTGTATAATCTCATTTGAAGGTGAACCTCTAAAAAAAGATACAGACAATAATGTCTGTATTTCTCGGACAATAATGCCCTTCTTTTCTGTATATTCACGCTTCTATTACGCGAAACAGAGCCGAAGGAAGATATACGAGGGGTTCGGCATAACGTATGGAACGGCGCGTGTTGTTTGCCGCATACCTAATAAATACCTGATTAATTATTAATTGCGACCACCGTATCAATCAATCAATAATAAAAATAATCAATTATCGCTCGTACGTCGCGCGTAATACGATCGATGTTTAATTATACATCGACGAGGAAACGCGACCACGTTCTCGGCGAGCAGACGGACAGACAGACGACAGCAATCGTTGCTCGTTAATCGTTAGCCGCCATCCATTATGCAGCAGGCGGCAGAATTAGATCTCGTTATCGCCGCCTCGTACGATTTCACGGCGCGGGGATCGGGCGCGTGTTGCGAATGGACACAAGTGTAATCGATATTAATCGACACGCTTCGAGAGCGGGCCTATTCTATATTTCCTATCTCTCGCTGGGAGAACGGACCGATCGCGATTAACGGCGCGCGGGCATTAATTACCGGATTTATCTG